ACCCTCCTACACTGCTGGTGGGAATGTAAATTAGTTCAACCATTGTGGAAAGCAGTATGGAGGTTCCTCAAAAAGCTCAAAAGAGAAATACCATTTGACCCAGGAATTCCACTTCTAAGAATGTACCCTAAGAATGCAGCACTCCAGTTTGAAAAAGACAGATGCACCCCTATGTTTATCGCTGCACTATTTACAATAGCCAAGATATGGAAGCAACCTAAATGTCCATCAGTAGATGAATGGATAAAGAAGATGTGGTATGTATACACAATGGAATAGTACTCAGCTATAAGAAAAAAACAGATCCTACCATTTGCAACAACATGGATGGAGCTAGAGGGTATTATGCTCAGTGAAATAAGCCAGGTGGAGAAAGACAAGTACCAAATGATTTCACTCATATGTGGAGTGTAAGAAAAAAGGAAAATTGAAGGAACAAAACAGCAGCAGAATCACAGAACTCAAGAATGGACTAATAGTTACCAAAGGGAAAGGGACTGGGGAGGATGGGACGGAAGGGAGGGATAAGGGTGGGGAAAAAGAAAGAGGGCATTACGATTAGCATATATAGTGCGTGGGGAGTACGGGGAGGGCTTTGCAACACAGAGTAGACAAGTAGTGATTTTACAGCATCTTACTACGCAGATGGACAGTGACTGTGAAGGGGTATGTGGGGGGGACTTGGTGAAGGGGGGAGCTAGTAAACATAATGTTCTTCATGTATTTGTAGATTAATGATACCAAAATAAAAAAAAATAAAAAAAACTGAACTTCAAGGCTGAGATTAAGTAATAAACATTTGTTATCTTACACACTTTCTGAAGGCCAGGAATCTGGGAGTGGCTTGGGTGCTGGTTCTGGCTCAGGCTCTTTCACGAGGCTGCAGTAAAGCTGGAGAGTGGGACTATAGTCTCTGAAGACTTCACTGGGGCTGAAGGGTCTGCCGCCAAGATCACTCACTTGGCTGTTGGCAGGAAGAGTCAGGTCCTCACCACATGGGCCTGTCTGTAGGACTGCTCATGGTGTGGCTTCCCTTAAAGTGAGGGTTCTGAGAGAAAGAGAGCACAAATGAGTGAGAGCACTCAAGACAGGAGCTGCAGCCTTTCATAAATGTCATTTCAGAAGTGATATCCCATCACTTCAGCCATGTGCTGTCAGTCCCACAGACCAACCCTGGGACAGTGTGGTACATGAGGATGTGAATACAGGACGTAGGGATCATTATGGGCCAGTGTGGTGGCTGGGTACCATAGGGAGGCAGAGTTACCAGCCCTAGTCCAGATTCTCAAGGCTAAATATTATGGATTTCCTAAGAGAGAACCAGACGAAGGGCTCTGGGAGCCCAGAGGAAGCTGGGATTTGGGTTTGTCTTGGGGCATGGCAGAGGCAGGAACATGGATTGAATCAGGGAGGGGATGGCATTTGGCTTGGGTCTGTATGGACATGGAAGAGGTTTGGGATACCTGAGAAGGAAATTTGTGGGCATTAGTCCCAGCCCCTGTGAGCTCACAATGGCTCCCCAGGAGTTATTTTATATATTACAGAGAACCTGTGATGGTGGAAGAGGGGAACCCCTCTTTCTTGCCAACCCACCAGGAAGATTCCCCCTTTTTCCTTTCCTCCCTCCCTCATTCCCACCCTTCCACCACCCCACCATCCTTTCCTTCATTATTCCTTCCTTTCTCTCCATTTCCCTCCTCTTCTTTCCTCCCACACAGGTAAAGTCTCTGGCCGAATCCATCGATGAGGCCCTAAACTGCCACCCATCAGGGCCCATGTCTGAGGAGCCAGGGTCAGCCCACCTGGAGAAGCGAGAGTCAAAGGAACAGCAAGAGGACAGCTCAGCCACCTCCTTCAGTGACCTTCCCCTCTACTTGGATGACCCAGTGCCCCCACCATCGCCTGAGCGACTGCCCAGCACAGAGCCCCCTCCCCAGGGCCGGCCCGAGTTCTGGGCACCGGCCCCTCTCCCGCCAGTTCCTCCACCAGTGCCACCAGGGACCCGGGAAGATGGTGCCCGTGAGGAAGGCACTCGCAGGGGTCCTGGGTGCTTGGAGTGCCGGGATTTCCGGCTGCGGGCTGCCCATCTGCCCCTGCTTACCATTGAGCCTCCTAGTGACAGCTCTGTGGACCTGAGTGACCGCTCAGATCGCGGCTCTGTCCACCGCCAGCTGGTGTATGAGGCTGATGGCTGCAGCCCCCACGGGACCCTGAAGCACAAGGGGCCACCAGGCAGGGCCCCAATTCCACACCGCCACTACCCAGCCCCAGAAGGCCCGGCCCCAGCCCCGCCAGGGCCCCTGCCACCAGCCCCCAACAGTGGCACTGGGCCCAGTGGTGTGGCTGGGGGTCGGAGGTTAGGCAAGTGTGAGGCAGCAGGCGAAAACTCTGATGGTGGAGAGAACGAGAGCCTTGAGAGCTCCAGCAATTCCAATGAGACCATCAACTGCAGCTCAGGCTCCTCTTCGCGGGATAGCCTGAGGGAGCCCCCGGCCACTGGCCTGTGCAAGCAGACCTACCAGCGGGAGACAAGGCACAGCTGGGACTCGCCTGCCTTCAACAACGACGTGGTGCAGAGGCGGCACTACAGAATTGGCCTCAACCTCTTCAATAAGTATGTGCTCCCTGTTCCCACCTCCTCTCCCCTTCCTACCCTGGCATGGACACTCTGACTCCTGGGACTGAATTCCTAGCAGTGATCCAGCTTTCACCATCATGTCGTGGATGATATTTCTTCCCAGCCATTTAGGGAAGAGGATTGGGAACAGGGTGGCAGAGTAGAAAGCCCCCTGTCCCCCAATACCCGTCAGAGGCAGTTCTGGTCCTGGCACTGCTTCTGACTAGGTGTGTGATTGTGGGTGAGATGCTCCCCTCTCTAGGCCCCAGTTCACTGTCTATAGGATGGATTCTGAACCTTGGGTCCCTACCTCCCCTTTTCACTGGGAAGACTATGTGGTGTATAAAGAGCCTTGCTCTGAGAAATAGGAGCATTGGAGCCCTAGTCTGATTTTGGCCAGATTCTCCATGTAACCCTGGACAAGGTGGGTTCCTTCTTGGGGCTGCAGTATTTCCATTTGTCGACTAGCAGGATGTGTATATCTGAGGCCTTGGTGGGTAGGGTGGAGTGGAATGCTGAACTAGTCAGTGATCATGACTGAGCCTTTTCTAGGTGTTTGGTCTTGTGCTGGGTGCTTAGGAGTGGAGTGGGAGGGTGACACTTGATTAGAAAATAATTAGTGAACAAATGCCTTATCTCTTTATAGCCTATTAGACATTGCCACCTATATTTAATTCTCACAATAGCTCAGCAAAGTGAGAAGTGGTGTCCCTATTTTATAGAAAAGGAGCTGAGGCTTGGGGAAGTACAGGCAATGTCCTGAGCCATACAGCTGCTAAGTGATGGATCAGAGACTCCTGTGGCACCAACATCTCTTCCAAATCCCAGTGTCGTGGGGTCTGAAAGCTCTGGGGCCCTGTGAATGGTATGGCTCAGACCCAATTTGGCCTAGTGGGAAGTGGGGAGCACCTTGTCCATGGCAACACTCACAGAGGCTGGGTGATACCTGTCTGGGTGGGATGTGGGCTGCAGACAAAGTAAACTCTTCACTTCTTTCCTACTCTGAGGGTTTGTAAATTAGAGAGAAGAGCTTAGCCTGGAGCTTAAGAGTCCCAGGACTCCTCAGTGCCCACTGGGAGTATCAAAGCACCTCACATAAAGCAGGCTCTCATAGATGTTAATTTTCTTTCACTTATAGTGTGGCCCCAGTGAAGGAGAAACTTGGGTTGAGGATACCTTGGAGTTCTGAAACTCTATGAAGTGGGAAAGTGGCTACCTGTCCTTGGGCCTCAGTTTTCTCATCTGTACTATGAAGGGATTGGATCAAATTATATACTTGACTTCTTTGGTTCTCTGAGGCCATGACTGGGCCCCAAATTTGTTCAAGCATCAGGACAGAGGACAGAGTTCCAGGAGGATGGTCATCTCATCTACCTCCCCTCTTTCTGCAGGAAGCCAGAGAAGGGTATCCAGTATCTGATTGAGCGGGGCTTCCTGTCAGACACACCAGTGGGAGTGGCTCACTTCATCCTGGAGCGGAAAGGCCTGAGCCGGCAAATGATAGGGGAATTCCTAGGGAACCGGCAGAAGCAGTTCAACAGAGATGTGTTGGAGTAAGGACCCCAGAATAGGACAGAGCAAGCCAGGGATTCCTGGAAAAGGAGGGAGGAAGGGGGCAGCCTGTGCTTTTTGCTCAGATAAACTCCACAAAACAGGATGAATAGACCTTTCTGCTTCCATACCCCTCTGCCCCAAAGATGTCTGATCTCTCTTGGCCCTATTCCTAAAGTCTTCTGAGTGGCCCTGGGCAAAACATCCTTGTCCTGTGGCCTGCTTTGGGCCTCAGTTTCCCACCTCTGAAATGAGTGGGTCAACAGAAAGGACCCTTACCAGCCATGTGTCTGGCCTTGATTTTGTGGGATGGATTCAATTTCAGATGTTCCATCCTCACAAGTACTTGTTTGGGCCTCAGGTCCAGATTTTGAAGTCTGTCACTGGGGGCGTTTGTCCATTTGAGCAGGTCAGGGTGGGTCAGAGGTTTTCTGCAGAGGAATTGAGAGTGCCACACCCCCTTCTTTGCTCCTCAGCTGTGTCGTAGATGAGATGGACTTTTCCTCTATGGATTTGGATGATGCACTCCGGAAGTTCCAATCCCATATTCGGGTTCAGGGCGAGGCCCAGAAAGTGGAGCGACTCATTGAAGCCTTCAGGTGTGCCTGCTTTCCACTCCTGAAGCTGCCTTCCCCTACTTTGGGGGGCAGTGTAGTATGTGTCTACAGGTCACCTCTCTGAGTCTTATACTTTCCTCATTAGAAAATGGAAACTGTAAATTTTATCTTGCAAGGCAGTTGTGAGGATCAGAGGTAATACACCTAAAGTATCTAGCTCAGCATTTGGGACATGGGCATCCAATAAGGGATGACAACATCAGCAACAACAGCTAATGCTCATTAAGAGTACTTACTGAGTATCAGGTGCTGAGCTGGGCACTTTCCATGATTATTTCACTGAATACTCACAATGACCCTATAAGGTAGGTGCTTTTGTTATGATTCCCATTCCACAAATGAGAAATGGGAACTGAGAACAGTTAAGTAACTTGCCTAGAGTCATACAGTAAATAAGCAGTTGAACCAGGGTTTGAACTCAAGTGTGTCTGACTCCCTGACTCATACATACCCTTAATTCTTATCCTCTACTATGAATGCTTTGGGTATCAGGCAGACCTGGGTATAAACCCTGGTTCCATCCACCCCTTTAGGGTGTTTGGAGAAGAAACAGAAGAATTGCTGAGAACTTGTTTCTCATAACAGAAGGATTTGCTTTGCAGTCAGAAAGATCTGGGTTTTCATCTTGGCATCACTATGTACCAACTCTACCAACTCTATTACCTTGGGCAAGTTACCCCACCACTTTGACCCTCAGTCAGTTCATCTGTAAAATCTGGCTACTCATAGCTACCTTGCAGGATTGTGATAGGATTACATGAGACAATGTATATAAATCCCATGACAAAGTTCCATAAAAGGTACAGGTTGTGAAATGTAGGCTTGTCTTGGGGAAACTCTGAAGAAAGAGGACAGACCCAGAGGGCTTGGGAATATTTCTTGGAGAGGGTTGGTGGTGCCAGCCTGGGAAGATGGTGGGTGGGTAGAGATTACTGGTGCCTGATCCTGGCCTTGATCTCTCCTGCCCTACAGCCAGCGGTACTGTGTGTGTAACCCAGCCCTTGTGCGCCAATTCCGGAACCCAGACACCATCTTCATCCTTGCTTTTGCCATCATTCTCCTCAACACTGACATGTACAGTCCCAGTGTCAAGGCTGAACGCAAGATGAAACTAGATGACTTCATCAAGAACCTGAGAGGTGACACTGGAACTTCCTGTCAGCTTTTCCTGTCCTTCACTTGGGAAGGGAAAGTGGGCAGGATGGGGGTGTGGTGGGGAGGAAGGCGGGAGGGTACATCTGCTCCTAGGAAATTAACGTGTGATGCTTTCATTGTCTGCCAAGCCTGGATGTTCCGAGGACATGTGCTTATTTTACTCAAGCAGTCGTTTGTCCATTCTCTCATTCTTGCACTCAATGTTGACTGAACAGGTCCTGGGGTTTAACAGTGAACATGAGTGATAAAAGCCCAGGCTCTTACACAGCCTACATTAATTCACTCAGTCATTCCAGTGTCCCTTCACTCATCACTGCCTCTTTCCGTCTGTTCTTTACATATGCCCATAAAGACTCATTTAATTATTTAGATAGCCTTTCTTCCATTCATACATCCATTGATTCACTCGACCAACCATCCAGCCAGCCAGCCAGTCAACAATGAGTGCCTCATGTGTGCCAGGCCCTTATGATGGGTGCTAAGGACAGTTGGAGGGGTATCTGCCATAGTCCCTGCCCCAAGAAACTCCCTGTTTGTAGTACCAGATACCCAGCATGAGACAGGAAGGGTGAACCCCCATGTCAGAGAGCCCAAAAGTGCAATCAGAGCTCAGAGGAGGGAAAGCCCCCTGCCACCATGCTTCCTGGAGGAGGTAGTATTTTCATTTTGGGCGCTGGTGTGTGGGGAGGGGCTCGAAAGCATGAATAATGTGACAGACTGGCAATAGAGGCGGTTTATCTAACAGTAAGAATGACAAAGGGAGGAAAAAGTAAAGTTGTTTGGAGAACAATCAAGATGGGGTGGACAACCCAATTGGGAAGGTCAGTTGGAACCAATGTACAAAGGAAGGACTTGAATTCCAGGTGAGAGTTGTTACCTTCACCTTTTCTCTTGGTTTATGGTATTGGTGTCAAGCCCTGCCTCTCACTGAAGAGCAGCCTACTAAAAATGGCAAAGATTTTAGGGTTATTTAAACAGAAACGAAAAAGGGAGATAGAATTGAGGAAAAACAAACAGACAACACAAATTTTCTGACCATCAGGGTTTGCACACTTAATGGGCTTAAGCTCTCTGGCACCTGAGGTAAAAAGGCAGTATGATGAAGGATGTTCCTTTAGCACCTGTCCAAGGGGATGGCACACCCTTTCCAAAGAAGAAAACATTTTCTCTAGCAGAAGGTTTAGAGGGAAGACTGAGTGGGTTTCACTCAGCAGACCATCAGAATGGTAGACTTAGGAGGGAGTTAGATCAGAGGCCATCTGGAGCTATCCCCAGAATCCTGCCATTAGCCATTCATTTGTTCATTCATTCATTTCACCCATTCTCTCTCTCTGTATGTATATATGTATATCTTTACCCCTCCAGTTATTAAATAAATAAGCAAACAAATTTTGGAAATAAAGAAAAATTTTTAATCCAAAATTCTGTCCCCTAGAGGCAACCATGATTGATATTTTGGTGTAGTCTATTTGTTTTTCCTATGCGTATATAACTTTTTATATAGTTAAGATCATGCTGTACATACAATTCATTATACCCTCTTTTTCATTTAACTTGGTACAGAAATTTCTCATGCTTTTTGTAAATGTCAAGTTTTTAATAGCCATAAATTATTTTATTAAATGGATATGCTCAGCTTTACTTAACTATTCCTCTCCTGTTAGAACTTAGGTTGTTTCAAATTTTTTCCATAAGTAGTACTTGTACATGTATCTTTGCACATATTTCCGAGTAATTCCTTAGGGCATATTTCTAGAAGAGGAATCACTGAATATTTAGGCTCTTGTCAGATTACCTTCCAAAATAATTATGTCGATGTAAGTGCCCACCTCCCTGCACTCTCACACTGGATATTATCATTTAACATTACTTTTGCTCTTTAGAATGGCAAAAAAAATGAGTATCTGGTTGTGTTAATCACACTGTGCGCTAAGTTATTTAAACAAAATTCCCACCCTGGAGAAGAAAGCAACTGGCTGTGTTGCTGAAGGATACTTTTTCTGGCTTGATCCTGCCCAAGGGACTGAGGGTGCTCACTCCCTCTGGTCCTGGCCATTGTGATGGCCCATGCCCGGGCGTGAGTGTCATGGAGAACCGCAGCCACCCACCCCCAACATTTATGCAATATATCTCTGTATTATTCCCCTCACTCAGGGGTTGACAATGGCGAAGACATCCCCCGAGACCTCCTGGTGGGCATCTACCAGCGCATCCAGGGACGTGAACTGCGGACCAATGATGACCATGTGTCCCAGGTGCAGGCTGTGGAGCGCATGATTGTAGGCAAAAAACCGGTAAGTGCCTTCGGAGGCTGCAGAGGGGACAGGGTTTGGGTCTGCCTTTGCCACGGAGTGAGATGTTAGTGCTGCTCTCTAAGCTCAGGCTCTCCTTGCCTGCCAAATGAAGTGGGTGATTCCTCAGGGTTGTGGTGCAAACTGAGTGCGCCGCTCTATCGGAAATGCATCTAGCACACTGCCAGGCACATAGTGGGTGCTGCATACATATTAGTGTCCTTCCCACCTCTTGTTTTACCCATCCATCCCAAGTGAGGAGCCAAGCTAATAGCTGATATCCAAAGCAAAGAACATACTGTAGTGTTTTGCCCAACAAACATTTACAGATGCTTTCCCTCTTAGTCCAGCATATTACTGGGCAACAGGGATACAGATATGAATCATACATTGTCTCTGTCCTTGGAGGTACTCACAGAACCAGTGTCAGACAAAGACACAATACTTCTGTCTTATAGTTAATAAGTTATGAAGTTAACACTTCTTCATACAAAGAAGGGAGAGATCATTTTCAGTCTGGGGAAGTCAGAGTGGTTTCTTGGAAGAGGGAACCCTTAAAGTAGGATTTGGAGGAGGGGTGGAATGTCGCCTTATGGAGCTAGGTGAGAAAGGCCTTCCAGACAGAGAGAGCTATAGGGACAAGGCAAGCCTAGACCTTAGTTGCTTAGACTCCTTGTGTCAGAGTGACAGTGATATGTATCAGACGTAAACTTCCTCTTGTGGTAGAATGTTAAGATGCCAGAGGCCTAAGGCTGGCATGCTGGCCTCGCTAACACTCATTTCTTCATGCCTATCTAGGTCCTGTCTCTTCCTCACCGTCGGCTGGTTTGCTGCTGCCAGCTCTATGAAGTGCCAGATCCAAACCGCCCCCAGAGGCTAGGATTGCATCAGCGGGAGGTCTTCCTTTTCAATGATCTCCTTGTGGTATGAGCACATGGGAGTAGGGATGGACGGGAGATGGTGAACTTGGCCCCTGGGTCTGGTGTGAACCATGTTACCATTGGTGGGTGAGGTGTTCTGCCAATGATCTGTGCCATCGTGGACAAGACATGGGCCAACTCTGCCCCTCCTTTACCTCCTGGATCTGGAGGTAGTGACTGCCACATGGGAGCAGAAAAATGTAAGGGCCAGGGCAGATAACAGACTTACAATCTGGGAAGTGGTAGAACATATTCCCATCTACCTCAGTAGCCCAGAGGGTTAGCTGGAGGAATGTGAACCTCTGTCCATGGGGTCAGACTGAAACCTTTGGGTGGCTAGAACATTTGAAGTGATTCTTAAAACTGCTTATCACCAGTGTAGATGTGCATGTTTTAGAGCTGAGACTCCTAGGACTCTGCAGGTGGAAAGGGAATTTCAGAGTCTCCTTTCCAACGTCTTACTCAGGGGAAGAACTGGATTTGTGCATGGCCTCCTGCTTGCATGACTGCAGAGACAGAAGGCTGCCTTCCTCCAAGGCAGCCAGTTTCCTGGTCAGACAGCTCTGACTGCTAAAATCTCCCAGTGGGTTTCCTCTACCAATCTTCATGTCTTGACCCTTGGGATAACAGAGAAAAACATATTCTCCCTCTGCTCTGAGGCAGCTTCTTAGGGATTGAGGACAGTGACTTGTCCCCTCTTGATCTTCTTTCCTTTAGAGCAGGGTCTTGCAAACTCAGGACTATTGATTGACATTTGGGGCCATGTAACGCTTTGTTGTGGGGGCTGTCCTCTGCATTGCATGGTGTTTAGTGACATCTCTGGGCTCTAACCTACTAGATGCCAGTGCTACCCCTTCAACCAAAAATGTCTCCAAGACATTGCTAAATCTCCCTTTTGGGGGCAAAGCCACACCCAGCTGAGAATTGCTGCTTGAGCTGGAGCCCCTGCAGTGCTCTCTCTGAGCTTTAATATCCTCCTCTGGGAAGTAGAGCTAACTCCTATCTCTAAGGGTTGTCATGAGGATGAATTAAGAGGTCAGATTTGGAATAGCCTAACCCAGAGGATTGCCCGGCCCACACAGGTGCTGAGTGAGTGTTTCAGTATCTGTCATGCACTGACACCTGTGTGTGTCCCCATGTTATGGACTGGGTGCACAGAGATGAGTGAGACTCAGTCTTTGGTCTCGGGGAGCTCACAGTCTGAAAGACTAAAAAATATGCTTTGCATAACTGTATACTGTAATCATTCTGAAATCAAATAATTTACTTTTAACCACTTGCAGACCATCTGAGGTATTCATAACCTATTTCAGTTGAATCCAGAGTGCCCAAGTACTTGATAAAGACCTTGGGTTGTTGAGAGGAAGACTTGTTAACTCTACACATTGGTTCATCAGAGATTGCCACTGTGTGCTGTCCCATGGGGGTGAGAAGATACCGGACAAGCAGGCTCCTCTGGGCACTCCTGGTCCAGCAGGGGGCGATCACACACTCAGAATGCTCTCCCAAAGCTTGATGGGGGGAAAGCACTGAACCCGCACTCTGGAAGGTCAGGAACCGTGGCGGTTGGGATGGTGATCCATGTGAAGTGTTAGAACAGGCTTCCTGCAGAGAGCAACATTCAGTTTCTTCCAGTAAAAATCGTAAATTCCTCTTGTGCATCATCAATATACCAGGGACTTGCATTTTCTCCTCTCTCCCATTCTCCCCAACTTGTGTGTGTGTGTGTGTTGGTGTGTAGATGCGAGTGGTGGTGGGAATAGAGGGTGGCTGTGAGAAATAGGTACCATCTGGGGATTCCACACCCCAAACCCTGCCTCTTGTCTTTTTCTCACCCCTGCCAAAGGTCACTAAAATTTTCCAGAAGAAGAAGATCTTGGTGACATACAGCTTCCGTCAGTCCTTTCCCCTCGTAGAAATGCACATGCAGCTCTTCCAGAATTCATGTGAGTCGTTTTTGGATTCCAGAGTCCCAGGAGCCTATGCCATGGCTCCCATACTCATTCTTCATCCACACCAACCTCTATTTGTGGGATTCCTTTGCAACTGCCTAAGGTCTCCAAGGAACCTACTTGGTCCTGGGATACAGGGCACACCAGCATGCAGTATGGTGTGGGCCTGTGCCCTAGGGAGCCCATGGTCTCACAGGGAACCACAGTGTGTATGTTTTCTGCTGGGCCAAAGAGATGATGATTGTGCTGTGCTTTGAAGGACTGAGCCACAGGAACTTTGTTGGGTGGCCTTCTGGGCAGCATTATGAGTAGAGGCAGAGGCGTTAAGGAAGGGGTTCTAGAGAACAGCAATGCAAGCCCACGGTGGCAGCAGCCGAGTGGCCCGGGAGTGGCCTGCATGCGCCATTGGCGGTGGCACCAGAGGGGTCCGGGAGTGGTCCGCCCAAGCCCGCAGCGGTGACAGCGGCGGCGGCAGAGTGGCCCGGGAGCAGCCCTGCTGACAGCAGCAGCCCAGAATCTCCTCCTGGCGCACAGATGCCCAGGCCAGACCCAAAGGCCACTGCCAGCATGCAGCTTCCCGGTGGGGGCGCCGCTCTCGCAGGAGAGCACACCTGCATGCCTGCCACTCCCCGCAGGGCTCTGGGCTAACCTGATGGCCACCCTGCCCACAGAATTTTAGGGGATTAACCTGGAGGCTACTCCAGGAGTGCAGGTAACCGACACAGGCAGTGGAGAAGGGCAAGGCATCCAGCAAGCAGGAGAGGACTTTCTTCTCACAGCTGACACATGCGCTACCTGCTGAGAGCTACCTCTATCACCATGAAAAGGCAGAAGAATTTGGTCCAGTCCAGAATTACCCAGACAACCCCCAAGAGAGGGCCTGGGGAGATAGACTTAACCAATCTCCCCAAAAAAGAATTCAAAATAAAGGTCATAAACATGCTGATGGATCTGCAGAGAAATATGCAAGAGTTAAAGGATAAAGTTGGGAGAGAGAATACAGAAATAAAACAATCTCTGGAAGGACTTAAGAGCAGACTGGGTGAGGTGCAAGAGGCCGTTAATGGAATAGAAATCAGTGAACAGGAACACAGAGAAGCTGAGGCAGAGAGAGATCTCCAGGAATGAAAGAATATTAAGAGAACTGTGTGACCAATCCAAACAGAACAATATTTGCATTATAGGGGTACCAAAAGAAGAAGAGAAAAAGGGATAGAAAGAGTCTCTGAAGAAATAATTGCTGAAAACTTCCCCAAACTGGGGGAGGAAATAGTGTCTCAGACCATGGAGGCCCACAGAACTCCCAAAACAAGGGACCCAAGGAGGACAACACCAAGATATATAATAATTAAAATGGCAAAGATCAAAGACAAAGACAGAGTACTAAAGGCAGCCAGAGAGAAAAAAAGGTTACCTACAAAGGGAAACCTATTAGGCGATCATCAGACTTCTCAACAGAAACCTTACAGGCCAAAGAGAATGGCATGATTTATTTAATGCAATGAAAGAGAAGGGCCTTGAACCAAGAATACTGTATCCAGCATGATTATCATTTAAACATGAAGGAGGGATTAAACAATTCCCAGACAAGCAAAAGTTGAGGGAATTTGCCTCCCACAAACCACCTCTACAGGGTATTTTAGAGGGACTGCTCTAGATGGAAGCACTCCTAAGGCTAAATAGACATCACCAGAGAAAATAAAATCACAGTAAAGGAAGCAGACCAATCAAATACTAACTAAAGGCAAAAAATAAAATCAACTACTCACAAAAGCAGTCAAAAGAAACACAAAAGAACACAGAATAAAACACCTAACATATAAAGAATGGAGGAGGAGGAATAAGAAGGGAGAGAAATAAAGAATCATCAGATTGTGCTTATAATAGCTTAATAAGCAAGTTAAGTTAGACAGTTAGATAGTAAAGAAGCTAACCTTGAACCTCTGGTAACCACAAATCTAAAGCCTGCAATGGCAATAAGTACATATCTTTCAATAATCACCCTAGATGTAAACTGACTGAATGCACCAATCAAAAGACACAGAGTAACAGAATGGATAAAAAAGCAAGACCCATCTATATGCTGCTTACAAGAGACTCACCTCAAACTCAAAGACATACACAGATTAAAAGTCAAGGGATAGGAAAATATATTCCATGCAAACAACAGGGAGAAAAAAGCAGGTGTTTCAGTACTAGTATCAGACAAAATAGACTTCAAAACAAAGAAAGTAACAAGCGATAAAGAAGGACATTACATAATGATAAAGGGCTCAGTCCAACAAGAGGATATAACCATTATAAATATATATGCACCCAATACAGGAGCACCAACATATATGAAACAAATACTAACAGAATTAAAGGAGGAAATAGAATGCAATGCATTCATTTTAGGAAACTTCAACACACCACTCAGTCCAAAGGACAGATTCACCAGACAGAAAATAAGTAAGGACACAGAGGCACTGAACAACACACTAGAACAGATGGACCTAATAGATATCTACAGAACTCTACACCCAAAAGCAGCAGGATACACATTCTTCTCAAGTGCACATGGAACATTTTCCAGAATAGACCACATACTAGGCCACAAAAAGAGCCTTAGTAAATTCAAAAAGACTGAAATTCTACCAACCAACTTCTCAGACCACAAAGGCATAAAACTAGAAATACCAAGAAAACAAAAAGGCTCACAAACACATGGAGGCTTAACAACATGCTTCTGAATAATCAATGGATCAATGACCAAATTAAAACAGAGATCAAGCAATATATGGAGACAAATGACAATAACAGCATAAAGCCCCAACTTCTGTGGGACGCAGCGAAGGCAGTTCTAAGAGGAAAGTATATAGCAATCCAGGCCTACTAAAGAAGGAAGAACATTCCCAAATGAATAGTCTAAAGTCACAATTATTGAAACTGGAAAAAGAACAAATGAGGCCCAAATTCAGCAGAAGGGGGGACATAATAAAGATCAGAGAAGAAATAGAGAGCAGCCAGAGTTCAGTTCACCTTTACATGCTGGAGTATAGGGAGTAACAGGGCCACCAGGAGTTTGGGGGCCTTGGGGGGGAAAGGGGAGCTGCTGAAGATGCCCAGGCAGAGAAGAGGCTGGGTCAGAGTTGGACATTAGGAAAAGCATTTCACAGATAGGCCACCTTGTTTGAGTCCTGACAGACCTCCCCTTTCCCCGCAGATTACCAGTTTGGGATCAAGTTGCTGTCTGCAGTACCTGGTGGAGAGCGCAAAGTCCTCATCATCTTCAATGCCCCCAGCCTCCAGGACCGGCTGCGCTTCACATCTGACTTGCGGGAGTCCATCGCCGAGGTGCAGGAGATGGAGAAATACCGCGTGGAGTGTGAGTAGCCCAACCACATTTCCTTCCTCCTCTCCTGGTGTGGTGCCCTGCAGACACCAAGAATCCTGTCCTCTGAGAATCTCAGAGTTGAGGGTTAGTTTGTCCAACCTTCCCACCCTCATCCCAGGAACCCTTCAGCCTCTGCTTGAATACCTTCAATGCTAAGAAACTCATTACCCATCAACCTTGGATTATTATCCAAGCCCTAATTATGAGCCAGTTCTTTCTTCTATCAAGAGGCAGAAGAGAGAAGAGTCAGGGTACTAGTGGAAGGACTCAAGTTTCAGATCCTAAGCATGGAACTTATTATCTGGGTAAACTAAGACAAGTTGCCCAACTCTCCAGGCCCCAATTTCTTCATACATGACATTGAGATAATAAAATCTCCTTCATAGAGTTGTGGACATTCAATGAAGTAAAAGTAGACAAGGTGTCCTACATGTTAGAAGGACTCTAGTTTTGATCATCCTGTTCTTCCAACAAACATTATTCCCCTTCCCAGCCTCTCCCCTCCACTCCCCAGATTCTAGTTCCTGAGCTGAGACCTGGTCACTAATCTTCCTGGCCCCCAGGGGCCACACCAAGTCATTCTGATCCTATATAATGGAAAATAATGATTACATCTCATTCCTTCCAATTCCCTCCAAGTTTTCTCTTCTCCAGGCTAAGCAGTCAGTTTAAGAAACATGGTGTTAAGGAAAAAGAGGCAGGCTGAGAGACAGACAGAGAGAGAGAGGTGATGGACAGCTCCTTGGTGCAGCTGTCACAGTTCCAGGGTCTACTCTGCTCCTCAGCAAGGCAGGGTCACACATTTTAGTTGACCAGATCCTTGACACCATGGGGACATTCACAGACAGGGGTGAGCATACCAAGATGAAGGGAGGGCAAAAGATAAGAGTATCCATGACCTCCACAGGGAGATGGCGGTGTTAAAAGAGGCTTGAGAGCACAGGCTGTGGACTCAGGTAGACCTGCTTCCACAATGTTGGCTCCACTTCCAACTGTATGATGCTCGACAAACTCTGTGGCTTCTTGGATTCTTGGTTTCTTCCTCTGAAAAATGTGGATGGCAATAGTTACCTCCAAACTGTGGGGAGGGTTGAGTGAGATCAAATGCCGAGTGTACTGCTGGCACATAACAGAGGATTTGCTTCCTGTCGGGTTCCTGCTCCTGTCCTTCCAGAAGCAGCCCTCTGCTCCGGGGCAAGGTATCTGAGAACTGAGTGGACCCTGGAATGATTGCCCACTGCTGCCATAGGCTAGAAGGGCCTTCCTGCCCCTGTAAAAACCAGCCACTGTGAAGCTCTGTTTTGAAGGGCAGGGGTGTTTTGGGAGACCAATCTGAGAGCGGGCTTGTGCAGGGAGAGGCAAAAAGGGTGAGAGGAGGGAGAGAGGAACAGGAGAAGCAGGCACTGAGAGGTTCCAAGGGCAGACCAAGTCAGTGGAGATGGCACCAGATAGGGCTGGTGCTGCAGGGGCCTTGGAGATGCAGCTGAGATCCGGGGGAATGTGCTGGGTATTCTGGGAGCAAAGCAGGATGCCTGGGGAAGGAGTGGCGAGCAGAGGGAAGGCCCATGGAGGGCTGGGGTCAGTCAGGTCTCCTCTCACACCTGTTCCTGACCTTCACTCCCCATCTCCCACCCTGTCACCCAGCGGAGCTGGAGAAGCAGAAAGGTATGATGCGGCCTAACACCTCCCAGCCCGGAGGGGCCAAGGAGTCGGTGAATGGCACGCTGGCCCGCAGCAGCCTGGAGGACACGTATGGGGCAGGCGATGGGCTCAAAAGGGGTGCACTCAGCAGTTCCCTGCGAGACCTCTCTGACGCAGGCAAGTCTACTGGGCCCCTGCCCTGGCTGGGAAGACTTGGGACCGGGTGTCCTTTCTGCCTCTCCCTGACTGCCAGCCTTGTCCGCAGCCGCCACACACACACACACACACCCTGCCTTTATCCAGAGCCCTGGGCGCCATGCCACAGGGGGCCTGGGGAGCCCGGTCAGAACAGGTGGAGCCCAGGGTTTGGGCCAGGGAGTGTGACGTGGGGCCTCAGTCGTAGCCCCTCTCTCTTGCTGCTCCACCTCTCCTCTCTTTCCTCTTCTATCTCTCCAACACCACCTCTTCTCTCCTCCTTCTCCATCTTTTCCTCTTCTTGCTCCTCCTCCTCCACCTGTACTCCTCTTCACCTCCCCCTCTTCAATGGGGGAAAGGGAATAGGGGTGTCTGTCCCCGGGAGGGGCCCAGGCCTGGTCCCCAGCTCTGGAGCCCAGCAGGGTGGGAAGGGGGGTTGCTGCTCTGACGCTGGGCTCCTTGCTTGTGGGCGCAGGGAAGCGGGGGCGGCGTAACAGCGTGGGATCGCTGGACAGCACCATCGAAGTAAGTGCCAGCTCCTACCCCACTCGTCCTCTGCATGAGCCCTGCCCCTCCGCCCGCTGTGGAGCCCCAGAGGACGAGGGGACCTGTTGCTTCCCCCTCTTCCCTGCTGGGAACCGAGCAGCTGCCTCTCCCAGCCAATCACTCTCTCCATCTGTCCTCAACTCTGTCTGTCCTCACTCTGCCTGTCTCTCAGTCTGTCTTCCACTCTCCCAAGCCCTCTCTCCACCCCATGACCAACACTGAGTAGTGATGCCCTTGGAGTTGGGCCGTGAGAAGCACTCACCTCCAAGTCTGTCTGTCTCTCTGGGCCTAACATTCTCCCTGCCTGCAAAATGGGGATGAGGAGGAGGTCCTAATTGTTCCTCTCCCAGCAGAGGCTCAGATGAGTTAGTGGATGTGACAGCAGAGCTCTGCAAGCCAGGGTGGTCCATGTTCAAGTATAGGACTGTTACTTGGAGGTCATTATGCCGCGGGGGCTCCTGTCTCCCCAGCTCCAGGCCTCAGGGACCGGGTGGAGTTTAGGGTTGGGAGTTTAGGGGATCTAGACTGGCCTGACTCCCCCTCCTCCCCCCTTCCAGGGGTCTGTTATTAGCAGTCCACGCCCTCACCAGAGGATGCCACCTCCACCCCCACCCCTGCCGCCAGAGGAGTACAAGAGCCAGAGGCCCGTCTCCAACTCCTCATCCTTCCTGGGCTCCCTATTTGGAAGCAAGCGGGGCAAGGGGCCCTTCCAGATGCCACCACTGCCAACAGGCCAGGCCTCTGCCTCCTCTTCATCTGCTTCTTCCACCCACCACCACCACCACCACCACCACCACCATGGTCACAGCCACGGGGGCCTGGGAGGGCTGCCTGATGGGCAGTCCAAGCTCCAGGCCCTGCATGCCCAGTATTGCCAAGGACCAGGCCCTGCCCCACCACCCTACCTCCCACCACAGCAGCCCCCTCTCCCCCCACCACCTCAGCAACCCCCACCCCTGCCCCAGCTGGGCTCCATTCCACCACCTCCCGCCTCAGCCCCACCTGTGGGGCCACATCGCCACTTCCATGCCCACGGCCCAGTCCCAGGCCCCCAGCACTATACCTTGGGCCGGCCAGGCAGGGCCCCCAGACGGGGGGCTGGAGGACACCCTCAGTTTGCTCCACATGGCCGCCACCCACTGCACCAGCCCACATCCCCTTTGCCCCTGTACAGTCCTGCCCCCCAGCACCCTCCAGCCCACAAACAGGGCCCCAAGCACTTCATCTTTAGCCACCACCCACAGATGATGGCAGCAGCAGGGGCGACTGGAGGCCCAGGATCCCGGCCACCAGGGGGCTCCTACTCCCACCCCCACCACCCCCAGTCACCATTGTCACCACACTCACCCATCCCACCTCACCCCTCCTACCCACCCCTGCCCCCTCCCTCACCCCATACTCCGCACTCGCCCCTGCCGCCCACCTCTCCCCATGGCCCACTACACGCCTCTGGGCCCCCTGGCACAGCCAACCCGCCCACTGCAAACCCCAAGGCCAAGCCAAGCCGGATCAGCACCGTGGTCTGATGAATAGAGTGAATGAGCTGGGGTCCAGGGAGGTCTGGGGAATCTACAGGAGGGGGGCCTTGCACCCTCTCTGCTTCCTCAGTTTTTTCAAAATATATATACACGTAGAGATGTCCTCCTCCCCACTTCCTCCCTGCCTCAGAACCCCTTGTCTAATCCCCAAGAGTTGCCATGGGGTTTCCATCCAAATTCGAAGATCCTCTCCACTTGAAGCCTGGACACAGGGCCCTCAAACTCTGGTGAGTGGTGAGGACCTTTGGGAGCTCCTTTTCCTCCTTTTTCTCTCTTCCTCCTCAACCCCTTTCCCCCAAAGGTCTTGCTGGGTGGCTTTAGACCTCTGGGCAATGTGAGCTCCCTGTCTACTCTGGCTAGTAGGGAAGGGCAGGTATCAGGAGCAGTGAGGTGGAAGGCCCTCTCTCTGACCTCAGGGCCTGGCCACACACCTCTCTCTGCCTGCCAGAGGAAGGAGCTGTCAGTGCACTTGGTGGGTGGGGCCCCACTTATGCTGGAACCCCAGATGGGGCAGTGCTTCGACTCCAGAGCCAGTCTCTGCCTTCTCTCCAGTAAGCCCCAACCCAGACCTCTTCAGCTTCAGAACCTTGCCTCTCCCAGCAATATTCTTATCCTGATCAAAGTCCAGACAGGTTTAGGTGGCATGGGGTGGGGGTGGGGCTCAGGTCTGGGATGAGAAGGGCGCTGCCCTCCCTCACCCATATTGCATGCCCCCCATTCCCTCACACTTATTGCCCCTACAACTGAAGACAATGCACTTTACAGATCTCACCCACAAACACCTCACGGGGCAGGGCACCCAGCATCAGCCCTGGGGAGAGAGGCTCCTCGTGAGCCCAAGAGGTCCTTCCTTAGGCAGAGATGGAAGCCATCAGAGTGGGGGCTGGGGGCCAGGATGCCTGAGTCCTTCCGTCTGTCAGAATCTCAGCTGTCTCTCCAGCCCCTTTACAGCCCTGTTTATTTATTATAAATATATTTTTTACAAACCCCAGCTCCTCTTCTTGCCCTGTACATCCAGCTCCTTTCTCAGCTCCTGCCTCCGTCTCCCCTCTCCACCATGGGCTGCAGTACAGACAGACAGACTCTGGCTGTTTGAAGGGCCGGGGACCCTGGGGCTTGGGTGTGGGGAAGGTTGGCAGCGGGAGGGTCCGAATGGAGAGGAGTTGGGGTTCAGGCATTGTCTTTTTCCTCCTTGTACATAAGAATGTATATTTGATGCCTCATAAAAGACCTTGTGCTCACCTCCCGCCTCTGTCTCCTGCTTCTGCCCCCTCCCCCACAATGAAGCCTTTGGAGAGAGAGGCCTTAGCCCAGAGAGTTGAGGCACTAATAGTAGCAGCTCAGGCAACTTAGTGGGCAAGATGCTTTGGTTGGGTGGGAGGTGGAGTTGAGGGAGGTTTTCCTATCGCATCTCATTAATGGTCTGCATGACAGAGTGGCAAGGGTGTGGGCCTTGGAGTTGATCCAGTTCAAATCCTAGAGGTTTTCCCTCCCTAGGTATGTGCACTTAGGAAAGGCACCCTCTTTGAGTCTCAGTTTCCTCACTTTAAAACTTGCGGTGATAAGCTGTTGCACATGGAGTTGTGATGATGACATGAGGTAACAAATGTCAAGCAGAGAGGATGCAGTAGGTACTCAGCAAGTTAGTTGTCTTCTCTTCCTTTCACAGGTTAAATACTTCCTCCTACTCTTGTGCCATCTAGTCTCACCCTTCCTGTGGCTGGCCTGGCTCTGCCCTGGAGCCCTGCCAGCACCCACCACCACCACCACCCTGCCACAGCTGGCCACATTTCTTCCTCAAGGGTAGGGGAGTGGATGACCTGGGCCAAGAAGCCAAGGGCTAGATCCATTATAAGAACTCTGTGTATACTTAGGATGTTAGATAACAAATAGCTGGACTCCCTTGAGTTTACAGGGGAGAGGCCAGGCCCAGTGAAGGGAAGGGTCTTTTCCAAGGTCACACAGCAAGTCAGGATATGGGCTCCTGATTTCTAGACCAGGCTCCTTTCCAGTCTCCCAGACTGCCTCCCCATGAAATGGGCATGTTTCCAGCACCATGGATTATGTCCTGGGTCTTGGGAGGCACAGGAGGAATGGGGCAGAGCACTGGCCCTTGCTTAGGGTCAGCAGGGTCCCCAAGAAGCAGCAGTCAATAAATATTTTTGTACCTTTTAGAGTCTGGAATGACCTCTAAAAAGGAATGGTTTAGATGGCCCTACTCTTTAGCAGCTTGGACCAATGCCTTTGTTTTCTTCCTCACATGCACATTTATGCAAAAGCAGAAGTTGGGGCCATCTAAGCATTTGATGCCTCCTTGAGGATCAGACCTGAGTGTTTGAATAGCTTAGACCCAGAGGTTTCAGAATCAAGTCCAACCAATATTTTTTGGTGTCTTCCCTGGTGGATCAAGCTGGATTGCCTTTAGTCACTCCCTGTTCTCCCACCTACAGCTTGATGCTGGCTTCATCTTCCCAAAGCTCAGCTTTTAGCACTAAAGTCCTGGCTCATCCACAGACTTGACTGTTGCCTTCGGCGAGTCACCTAGCCCCTCAGACCCTGGGCTTTTTTTTTACCTTTAAAATAGGAATAATAATCTTGCAGGGAAATTGTTAATGGATATGTATGAAATGCCTCCTTCCTGCCAGGTGCACAGTAAGCTGTTCATGGCCAACTACAGAAACAAACTTGAACTCCTTGTCTTTATGTTGGTGGTCCTCCACCACATGGCCCCAGCTGATGTCTGTAGTCCTAACTCTCCTTCCTTGCCTATACTTTGGCCATCCCCTCACTGTTCCCTGAAAAGGCCTGTGTGTAATTTCAGAATTCAGTATTTTACCTGTGCCTTCCCCCTGTCAGATGTGTTCCCCCCAACATCCCTGATGAAAGTTTTCTCACTCTTGAGAGATGAACTTAAAGGACCAATCCCTCCTGAAATGTGCCCTTGATCACATTCTCTGAGATCCCTCACATTGTTATCTTCCCTGCCATGTCATAAGTGGCTCACAAGTGACACAGGCCTGAATCATGTCTGTCCAGAGCATTGGCGCAGCACAGATGACACTAAAATCTTGTTGACTTGAATGAATGAATAGCTCTTTCTAAGCAGGTATCTGCATTGGTTAATTTATTGATTGATGCAACCTGCGCACCAAGCTTTTGGGACCCTCTGGGACCTCCTCATACTTCCTTCAGCTCTTTCCTACGTTCTTCTCCCCACCTCATTGCAGTCCCAGTGCTGCACTGTCCCTGCCCCACCATTCCCCTCTCCCTGGAGGCTCACCATCTAGACTGTGGAGAAGTAGTTCAGCTCCTCACCTCGCATTTCTTTGAGGACCCCTGAAGAGATGCACATTGGCTGTTCTCATATCAAAGGTTCTATTGCCAATCTCTTTGCGGATGTGGGTAGGAAGGGACAACACATAACAAAGACAAAAGTCCTAGAATCTCACAGAAATCTTTATCTAGACCAGTGCTGTTCAATAGGTCTTTCTGTGCTGATGGAAATATCCCATACCTGCACTGTCCAATATGGTAACCCCTAGCCGCATGTGGCTATTGAGCACTTGAAGTGTGGCTAATGTGACTACAGAAACAAATTTTTAAATTTAAATGTAAGTAGCCATATGTGGGACAGTGCAGGACAGGACTTTCAGGAATGGACAGCCTGGCGGGGATAATGTCAATACAATATAATAATAAGTACAAGCCCAGAAGGAAGCACAGCATGTAAGGGGTTGGCAAAGAGGAGGAAAACTCAACTTGGGGTGGGGTGGGGAGATCAGAGAAGGGTTTCTGGAACTGGCACTTTAGCTGAGTCTTGAAGCGTGAATAGGAATTACCCTGGGAAAAAAGGGCATTTGTCAGAGGAAGCAGCATATGTAAGGGCCTTAGAGATATGTGAGTTTGTGGTATGTTAGTGGAGTAGTTAGCAAAGAATGGAAGAGGGCAGCCCAGGTGGCGGGCATGGCATACTCTGAAACAGGAGAGCAGTCCATGAATCCTCATTCCTCTGTTGCCTACAGGTTTTCTCACCAAGCCTCATTAGGAGGTAAAGTAAGACCAGGTGACACATTGGGCTACTAGTATCTTCACTATAAAGTTACTATTTTCCCCTTTGTAATTAATGAGTATCTTGTGGAGAGATGCATTGAAATTATGTATCTTGTTACTCCTCAAACTTTTACCCACCAGTTTTAACATTCACTGGTGATTCTCTAGATTGCCAAATGGTTTTCAAATGCCATCTTTCTTTTGACATGAATTAGCTGGCTTTCCACTATGAGAGAGAGCTTTCCTGTCTCCTACATTTATTTATTCATATCCTCATGGACTCATGGTTGTCCATTTTATTCAGTGGGTTGTAAGCCATTAATATCATTATTTTGATGTTCAAAATGCTCCAGATTTGGCCAGCAGGAGGCCCTGCAAGCTGGCTCCTGTGTCCTTTTGGCAGGTCTCCATCTTTATTTGACCATTTCCTTGTTTTCTGGCTCCACGAGATGCTCCAGGCCCATCTTGCCCTAGTCCTGGAATCAGCCACTTTTGCCAAGGAGCCTTGGTTCTTTTTAGTAGAGAATAGAATTTAGGAATGAAGATTTGAGCACTAAGTGTTATAGCTATGTTTTAAGAGTTTGCTTTTTTATTTGAGAAAAGTTTGAGCACCTACTGATAATTTTCTAACTACATCATTCCTTTAAGGTAGAGTTTTCCCTTTTCCCTCATTTTAAAAATTTATATCAGTGGAGTCATGGCTTTTTATTTTACTCGATCAGTTAAAATCCACTACTATCATAATTCATTTGGAATTATCATTTTGAATATGTCATTTTATTGTTATGTATATATATTAAGCACATAATATGCATCTATATTTCTCTTTGTATTTAGCTGTATATATACACACACACATGCACATGCACACATACATATATATAAAACCATGAGTTCACATAGGTACCTTGATACCTTGAGGACACTGTTTTAATAATCCTGGCTAGAGAGAGTAACTGGCTCTCATGGGGAGTAGATCAGAAAATGGCATAGGGAGGAAGGGATGAATTCCAGAGCTATTTAGGAGTTAGAACTCACAGCTCATAT